CCGAGCTGAAATCTGAAGGATGTGCAGGAATCAACTATGAGACAGGCGACTATGGGGAAGGGTGAGAGCATACCCATCAGAGAAACAGCAGGTGCAAAGGCCCCGAGGCAGGCAGAAACATGGTGCACACTGAAGGATCTCAAAGAAAGCTAGGGTGGGTAGAACATAGCAAAGGAGAGTGGGGGGAGTAGCAGGAGATGAGGCTGGAGTAGGGGCATGGACTAGACTGCAGAGGCTGTTCTAGGTCACAAGAAGATTATCCTAGTTGCTCAGAAGGAATCAAGGAAAAACAAGAGACATGAAGAAAGGAAGGTACACTACAGAATGATTAAACAGAGCAGTGTAATAGCCTATGAGCATTTGAGGGGGGAGTGAAATAAGGATTCAGTTAGGGCACAGAGAAGGGGATCTTTAATCCATCTGGGGGATTAGATATGGAAGACTCTGAGAGACACTAGCACCTGAGCTCCTAAATTGAGGCTAATTGGGAGAGAGATACTTGTGGAGAAAAATGCAATCAGGCAGAGGCAACCACGCAGGCAAAAGGTCAGCACAACCCAACTGAAATAAAAAGGATCATAAAAGAATATTATGAAAAACTATACTCCAATAAATTTGAAAACCTAGAAGAAATGGATAAATTCCTAGAAACACACTACCTACCCAAACTACAACAAAGTGATGTTGAAAATCTGAACAGATCCATAACAAGAGAAGAGACTGAAAAGGTAACAAGAGAAGAGACTGAAAAGGTAACAAAAAAAACTCCCAACAAAAAAAAGCCCTGGCCCAGATGGCTTCACTGGAGAATTCTACAAAACATTCAGAGAAGAGCTTGTACCAATACTACTTAAACTATTTCAGAGCACAGAAAAGTAAGCAACACTTTTGAATTCATTCTATGAAGCCAGCGTAACACTGATACCAAAACCAGGCAAAGACGCCACAAAAAAATAAAATTACAGACCAATATCTCTCATAAATATAGATGTAAAAATTCTCAACAAAATTTTAGCCAGTAGAATTCAGCATCATATCAAAAAAATAATACACCACGACCAAGTAAGATTCATATCAGGTATGCAAGGATGGTTCAACATTAGAAAATCAATCAGCATAATCCACCACATAAATAAAAGGAAAGAAAAGAATCACATGATCATCTCAACTGACGAAGAAAAGGCATTCACAAAGTCTAAAACCCATTCCTGACAAAAACTCTCAATAAAATAGGTACAGAAGGGAAATTTCTCAACATAATACAGGGCATGTATGCAAAACCAACAGCCAACATCATTCTTAATGGAGAGAGGCTGAAAACATTCCCCTTGA